AAAAGATACTTGAGTATTTTACCACTTAAACTACCATCCTGTTAGGGAGCACTATCACCTCGAAAGGACATTTTTTTTTTTTTTTTGGAGACTTGAAAGATATTTATATATTATGGAATACTAATAATGATGTGTAGAATTCACATTAGTGCTGGTGAACTTCATCGAAAATATTTATGTTCCAGCTTAAATGAACTCGGATTGGGGATTTGGGTCCATTAGAAGCATGGATATTAGTAATTGAATAATCAATTCTCAACCATTTAACAAATCAAGATTGTAAGATGAAATAAAGCCAATATCAATATATCTAGGAGAAAACTGACAATGACGCAAACAAAATTGCTTTTTCACTCCAAATGACCATTAGGTCATTGAAACATTATTCTATGCAGCGGGGTGCTAGTGGTGAAGTCATACCATGAAAGTAAGTGTACCAGCTTCTGCAGCAAGAACACCTCCAGATACAGGAGCATCCAACATGACAGGTTTTTCCCAAGAAACTAACAGCAAGATACTAAACACCGTTAAAATGAGAAGGAAATAAGGAAATCAAGTCCAACATGTATTAAGCTTAAGAATATAGTTTATGTGGAAACTCCCAGAAAACCGTTCCTCTTGAAAATTAAGCTTAAACATATTCTGATTGGTAGTGTTGGGGCACCTTCCTGTCAGTAGGTTGGTCCTATGTTATTTTCACTTTACAAAAAAAAACAGATGAATGACCTCAAACACAGTGCAATGCAGCTGCATTAGTAATGAAGCTCTTTTTCTTCAGGACTCCAGTCGACGCAAGGTGCAGGTGCAGTGCAAATGCACTGCAAGACCAAAGCATTAAAGTACTAATGTACCAGTTCCATTCTATTAACAAAGAAGAGAATAGTTTTTGTATACATAGAACTTAAAAATGTCAATTTTGAATGACAAAATTATCTAAACATAAGTCAAATACATCTGCATAATTTCTAATATGCACAAAAACCTAAACATGGTAATATTTATGAGGCAACTGGAGAATGTGGAAATTGTTAGAGGTCAATTGACCTAAAGGTAGTCAATGTACTAGACTATGTGGTAGGCTTAGCCTCAAAACCTAGGTGCACCTCTGTTAGAAAATGAAGAAAATTCATCATCCACTCGTTTACATTACTATTATTAAAATATATTAATATTTAAATGGTATATAATATAAATAATTAATAATTATAGAAACGTTTACGTTTAAAAATCATCTCTTACTTGTATAAATACTTTCACTTCGTAATTCATTTCATATAACAAATATATAAGAAATATATATATATATAAACATATTTATTTTCCGTTTCTTTTTTTATTTGTTAGCATTATTTGCACAATTATCTCCAATATTTCCAACAAGTGGTATCAGAGCCACAATGATCAAGAAGGTTATAGTACAATTTCCATAATATAAATTATAGCTTTCACAAGCACAACCCAGCAACAAGTCGTTCCGCTTTTCAATGGAGAAAACTATGGATATTGGAGTATTAGAATGAAAGCTATCTTTTACATGCATTTGGCTTATGGGAAGTAGTAGAAAATGGTATACCAGAAGTTGAGGGTAACTCTAATACATCAACTCCAGTTACCATAAATTGGCCAAAAAAGAATGCAGAAACGTTAGCCAAAATTCATCTTACCGCCTCAGATACAATATTTTCACGTATAATGAAAGCCACTTCAGCACAAGAGACGTGTGATATCTTGAAGAATGAATTTGAACGAACAAAAAAAGACAAGAATTGTCAAACTTCAATCGATAAGATGTGAGTTTGATAATTTAAAAATGACAGATGGAGAAACCATCAAAGATTATTCTTCAAGAGTAATAGAGCTGGTAAATCAACTAAAAGCATCTGGTGATAACATTATTGATCAACGAGTAGTGGAGAGAATGTCGGTCAATTTGGCAGAAAAGTTTGAAATGGCAGTAACTGTTATAGAGGAATCAAAACACCTATCGATGTCAACCATATCAGAACTTATTGGTTCTCTTCAAGTTCATGAAAACAGGATGTCAAGAAGACATGAAACATCTTTAGAAGGAGCCTTCCAGTCGAAGCATAAACTTTCATCCTCAAGATCAAATAAAAACAAAGGTCCGAGGCAATACAATTCGGGGAACAACAAAGAAGGAGAAAAGAAAGGTAAATTTTATTGTAAAATTTGAAAAAACAAAATCATAAAGAAAGGAATTGTTGGCATAAAGGAAAGCTACAGTGTAATTTCTGCAAAAAATTTGGTCAGATGGAGCACGAATGCAGATTTAAAAGGCAATAAGCAAGCGTGTCTGAGACTATAAATGAAGAAGATCGTCTATTTTATGCTTGTCAGAACATACCTAGTCAGAAGGATGCTTGACTTATTGATAGTGGATGCACTAATTATATGACCAAGTATTCAAATGCATTTAGCGAAATAGATACTTCAGTTAGAGTTCCTATCAAAATGGGCAATGGAGCTATAATAAAATCTGAAGGCAGAGGTACCGTTGCGGTACAGACAAAGAAAGGCACAAAATTAATAAAAAATGTTCTATATGTCCTTGATTTAGATCAAAATTGACTTAGTGTTCCTCAAATGATACAGAATGGGTACTCTCTTCAGTTCAAGGATGGCTCTTTTTCAATATTCGATCCAAAAGGAAACTCAATTGCTTGCGTGAAAATACAACAGAAATGTTTTCCTATACAATGGCAATAGTTGTAAAGGAAAAAATTGCGTATGCTCAGATTGAGGAGGTAGTATGGTTACGGCATAAACACTTCGGACACAGTAACTTACGAAATTTAAAGCTACTTTCATAGAAAAATATGATGAAAGGTCTTCCTGTCATATCAGAGACAAGTGGCATATGTGATGGCTGCCAAGTGGAGAAAATGACAAAACAATCATTTCTAGTAGGACAAGCATGGAGAGCATCAAAGAAACTCGAGTTAGTACATACTGATGTATGTGATCCTATGAGAACTCCTTCACTTGACAATAGCAGGTATTTCATCTTATTTATTGATTACTACTCTCGGATGACATAAGTCTATTTCATGAAAGATCGATCTGAAGTCTTCAAAACTTTCTGCAAATTCAAGAAATTTGTTGAAAAAGAAAGTTCCTGCCAACTTAAGAATCTCATAAGTAATAATGGAAAGGAGCATACGTCCTCAAAATTCAACAATTTTTGTGATGAGGAAGGTATACATCAACTTACTATTCCATATATCACACAATAAAATGGTGTGTCAGAAAGGAAGAACAGAATTGTAATGGAAATGGCAAGATCGATGCTGAAGAATAAAGGTTTACCTAACAAGTTTTGGGCTGAAGAAGTATATACATCAATTTATCTCCAAAATCGGCTTTCTACGAAGGCAGTTGAAGGATGTACACCTTTTGAAGCATGGTCTGGACATAAACCATCTGTAAGTCATTTAAGAGTATTTGGGTGTATTTGCTACATCTATGTACCAAAGGAAAAATGACACAAGCTTGATGATAAAGCACAAAAGGGGATCTTCTTTGGCTACAGTTCTCAGTCAAAAGGATATAGAGTGTACAACCCATACACTTGCAAAGTTCAAGTTAATAGAGATGTTGTATTCGATTAAAATGCTTCTTGGAATTGGGAACATAATGATATTGATAGGAAGTATGTCATAACTCAACCATTTCAACAAGAAGTTTCCTCACCAACATCAACACCAGTTAATCAATCAGGTCAACATTCTTATGAAGAATCCAATAGTAGCTCAGATGACACTGATTCTCCAAGATATGAGTATGATAGTTTATTTGATACACCACCTAAGAAGTTTCGAAGATTGTCAGAGTTATATAGAGATACTTAATAAATTCCTGATCCTAATGTTAAACAATGTGAGTTTTGTTGTTTTGTAACTCATAAACCAAATTGCTATGAAAAAACATCTCAACATGAAGAATGGAGAAATGCCATTAATGAGGAAATTCGCATGATCGAGAAGAACCAGACGTGGGAACTACAAACCAAATCAAACAAAGGTGTTATTGGTGTAAAATGGATATTCAAGATAGGTTAATCCAGATGGTTCAATTCAAAAGCACAAAACCAAACTGGTAGCTAAAAGATATTCACAACAATTTAGGGTGGATTATAATGAGACTTTTTCCCCAGTATCAAGACAAGATACAGTTAGAATTATTGTTACTCTGTCAACACAAAGAAGATGGAAGATTTACCAATTTGATGTGAAATCCCCTTTTCTAAATGAGTTTCTTCAAGAAGAAATTTATATTGAACAACCCCTAGGATTTGAGATCAAGGGAAAAGAAGACAATGTTTTAAGGTTTAAAAAGCGTTATATGGTCTTAAGCAAGCTCCTCGGGCATGGTATAGTCGGATTGATGGGTACTTCATTCAACAAGGGTTTCGAAGGAGTCCGAATGAAGCAACTCTATATATAAAGCCAGAATGAGCAAATATCATTATCATCTCACTTTATGTGGATGACCTTATTATTACAGGAAACAACTCATCTATGATAAAAGCATTCAAGCAAAATATAATGAAGCAGTTTGAGATGATTGATCTTGGCATGATGAATTATTTTATTGGTATGGAGATCAATCAAACAGATGAAAGGATCTTCATATGTCAGAAGAAATACACCATCAATATTTTAAAAAAGTTTAAAATGGAAAATAGTAAGCCTATTTCAATACCATTGACTCAAAATGATAAATTTACTAAAGAATATGACTTTGGAGAAGCTGATATGAAGTAGTACAGAAATATGATTGGTAGTTTATTATACCTAACAGCCACAAGGCCAAACATGATGTATGATGTAAGTATGTTATCCAAATTTATGCAGAAGCCAACCCAAACACATCTGCAAGCAGCTAAAAGAGTTTTTCGCTATCTAAGAGGAACTTCGAACTATGGAATTTGGTACAATCCTATTGAAAACTTAGAGTTGATTGGGTATTCAGACAATGATTGAGTTGGATCTTTGGATGATATAAAGAGTACTTCAGGCTATGTATTTTCTAGTGGAAATGGTGTGTTTTTTTGGCTCAGTCAAAAACAAGATACTATGGCTCAATCAACTGCTGAAGCTGAGTATATAGCAGTATGTGCCGCTGCAAATCAGGCAATATAGAAGGATTTTATCTGAAATTGGTGTAACTCAAAAACAACCCATAAAGATGTTTTGCGATAGCAAGTCAGCAATAGCTATTGCAAAGAATCCAGTTCAACATAGAAAGACTAAACATATCAAAATCAAATATAATTTCGTTCGAGAAGCTAAAAATGAAGGGAAGATCAATCTAATTCATTGCAGCTCAGAAGAACAGCTAGCCGATATATTCACCAAAACACTTTCAAAAATGAAGTTTGATTTCTTCAGAGATAAACTTTGTGTTCAAATGAATTTCTTCAAGAAGGAGTGTTAGAAAATGAAGAAAATTCATCATCTACTGGTTTACATTAGTATTATTAAAATGTACTAATATTTAAATGGTATATAATATAAATAATTAATAACTGTAGAAATGTTTACGGTTAAAAATCATCTCTTACATGTATAAATACTTTCACTTTGTAATTCATTTCATACAAGAAATATATATATATATATATAAACACATTTCTTTCCCGTTTCTTTTCTTATTTGTTAGCACTATTTGCACAATTATCTCCAATATTCCCAACAACCTCCAATATCAATGAGATCTCGACATCACTACAACTTCTTAAGTAAGTGAGAGTACATTGTCAAATTGTAAAATTTCAAAATGATAGAAAAATAAAACCTCTGATGAAGTCGATGGTAAGTTATGCATGTCTAATGCTAGAATGAGCATGAAAATTCAGTTACTGATTATTCTAAAAGAACATTCGGATTGGTAGTGTTAGTGTACCTTTCTTTTCTTTTAAATTGCAATTAGATACAGCTGCAGAGAGCTTTCTTGATGTATGGGGATCAATAGTAGACGAATCTATTAACAACCTTGGTCCCAGGAGATTCGCTCCATGAAGTAAACCATTTGGCCCATTATAGACATCCAATACCTAAGGAAAGCAAATGTAATGATCACGTGGACATCTGTGAACAACCAAGAAAAAGAAAAGAACAACAGAAGTAAACAACTTTGACCATTTGAACTGTCTTGCCAATTTAAAGCTCAAACTAGAGACAACTAGGAGTCCTGAAATATAATTGAATTAGAGTATACCCCTCTCATGTAATATAACTCAATAAACTATATTCTTCATTCTACACAAAAACTATTTTTACATTAACTATTTTTACATATGAAACTTATACTTACTGATACTGACAAGGACAATCAGTTTTGTCCTTATTCTGTAAACAAATAAACTGCGAAGGTGGTGGAAACAGAACGCACAAACAATCTCTTCAACTAGATTAAGAAATCAGTGCTGTATTAAACAATAATAAATGCAAGATGAGATTTTCAGTTATGAAACTGTTATCATAAACTCACATGAGCCGATGAGGGCAACATTGTAATTACAATCTCACTTGTTTCTGCAACCTCAGTAGGTGTCTCTTTCGTGGAAACTCCAATGTCAGAGAACTTCTTCATGGCATCACGGTTTCTGAATTAAAGCAAAACGTGCTAATACAATTCAAAGTAGAGACAAAAGATGATCATTAAATTTATTACGTAAAGAAATGGAACTCCCCACTAAAAATTACATTGGAATATCTTTCTACGCACATTTACTTACAACTGTAATACATCAATGAAACATTTAGAAAGCAAGCATAATCCGAGTGCAAGAAAATGTAAAATGTATTACACATCATGAACAGTAACTTTGTATCCAGCTTTAATGAGATTTTTGGCCATTCTCGACCCCATGTTTCCAAGCCCTATGAATCCAATACTCTGTAACACATCAACGAAACAATTCATAATTAATGTAGGAAAAAACAAGCCGTAAAAAAATAACTAAAGATGAAAAAGGAAGCATAATAGTCCCCTATCCATAATAAAAAGAGAAAATGAAGAACACCCACTTAACCATCAATACCTAGCTGAAAGTAGAAATAAAAAGGGTAGCTGATAGAAAACTCGCATATTAAAGGGCTATAATATTCAATAAAAATACACATTCAACTATTCTTCACATTAATAAATCAGAAGCTCTAAATATCCATTTAGTTCAATTTTTATTATTTAATTCCTATAATTAAATTTTTGATTAGTTTCCTTAAATTTTGTGGTAATGAAATTTCCATTTTCAACTTCTGAAATTAAGAACCGGAAATCCACCGCTGAGTAAGTTCAAGGTGGAACAGGAGATGACTCAAACACAAAAATGAAGTTACAAGTTTATTCATATAAACACAGAATTTGATCAAAAAAGGGAACTGAAACGGGGCAAAAGATTATAATTCAATGGAAACTGGAGATAATATTGCAAAGAAATTAGCAATTCAATCAACTCAAAGGGATGACAAAATTAACACTTGATTATATAGATTTTCTTATTACATACACATGAACTCTTAGCCATAGAACGAACAGTAATCTCATTATCCATGACAAAGGAAAACTTGTATCATTCCTCCAAAATGCATCCAACATGACTCTTCTAATTAACCTCAAACAAGAAAAAGCACATATCCAAAATCTACTATGCAAGCCACTCTTTACCGACCGGTAAAAAATCACAGATACCAAGTTCACAATTTTTCAAACAGTGAACAGTAACGTGTGATTCTTGAACTCAAATGATCAAAAACTAGAAACTTAAGCGAAAAGAGTTAGAGAAGGAAATAGAAGAAGAAAAGCTTAACCTCAAAATCGGACGAGCCTTGTAACGAAGAAAAACCCCGTAGTATCGATAATGAAGGTTGAAAGGGAGAAGACATTAGCATAGGTTTTTGCTTCGATAAACGAAGTAGAGACTTGGCTCTGCTGAAGGTCGCCATTGATAAACCTTCAGACTGCAGCCTCCTTGAGGAAAGTAAAGTTACGGCCTTTTTGGTTATTGCATTAGTCCGTAAAAGACGGTTACAGTGCAAGAAAGATACCAGATCATGTTGTGCTCTCACTGCCAAGTTGGTATGTATTAGAATAGACTTTGCAAATAAACAATAGTTTATGGTCAATCAAGTAATTTGCTGTAAATACTGGGGTCATTGTATTTTTCTTCTGCAAATACTTTACAAATCCCCATTAATGACAGAGAGAGATTTTATTCCTCACAAATTGTATGGTGTTTCACTATATACCCTTTATATTATATTATAATTATTTTATGTGTATCATATAATTAATAAATATTAATTTATTCGAATAAAATAAAAAATTTACTACAACACCCAAATCTCTTCTCTAGCCTGTCAACCTTCTCCAATACTTACATGGTGAACCCAGATTCTGTGTATCACCTAATTTGCTTTATTATTTTTACACATGTCAAAGTAAACTTCCATCCAAATCCATGAAATACTACCATATGAGATAAGAGCCTTTTTTAAGCCATGGAAGACTGAAGAACATTTGAAGATTTTGCATAGATTCAAACTATGATCCATTTATACAACAAATGGTTAATTAACATTGAGCTAAACCTCTGAAATGCCTACATCAAACATTTGACAAGGGAGACCAGTGAGATTCTGAATTCCCGGAAAATTTTTAATCCACATAAAAATATCAAATGGATGACAGATCTTCATATATGGTCTTGATGCCTGGCCTCTCTGAAACAGATCGAATACATCGCAGAGCTATTCCGAGGACCTCCTTCATTCCCTTTTCGGAAGCCGGATTACCCATTTCCGGATTTAAAGCAGAATCAAAGCATTCCACCCCACGACCTTCTGCCACTCTCAACCTCACCCAATCCGTCAAGTCTACTCATCCTGTTCACTAGAAATCACATCTCCAGCACATCTTCCAGTTAGAAGTTCCAAAAGTATCACCCCAAAGGCATAAACATCCGACTTAAAAGAAGGCATCGGTTTCTTAGAAGCAGCCAACTCTGGTGCACGGTAACCCAGGATCCCAGCATCAAGAATTTGTTCAAGGGTGCCAGCTTGTGTCATGAGTCGATGGAGGCAGTAATCAGCAACACGTGCATTCATGTCAGGTCCATCTAACAAGATGTTGGTTGCTTTGATGTTACCGTGTGGAACAGCTCGGTCAAAATGGAGATAGTTCAGGCCCCGTGCAACATCAACTGCTATTTTGAGCCTCTGGCCCCAGATTAATGGGGGACCTTTCCTTCCAGGACGATCTAAGAATTCCAAAATATTAGTAGCTAAACAAAGATTAGGTGCAGAAAGTCAGAATGCACAAGCAGATACTTTATTTCCACTAAAAAATCATGTTCCGGCAGCAAAATGAGAAATTATAATTGCACGAAAAATCAAATAATGCAGTCTGTCAGATTAATCAGAAAGAGGTACCCAGTCCATAAAAGAATCTCATCAGTATATATAGAGAATAATAATTATCAAAGAGGTTATTTGAGTGTTAGCCTACTCCCAGTTGAATACATACTTTGATGGGTTATATAACTTCTAGACTTCGTTAATGTCATACATACATGTTTAAGGAAGACAAAATGAAGCATGTGAAGCTCCTTCAAAAGTGTATCGCAAGTTATAAAGGTGCTGAAAATCCATAGGATAAGGTAGTAATTAAGACACTGAGTAGAAGGGTTTTCAACAGCTGGGTTTTGGAAAATCATAATAAATTCAGAAAAAATAGACATTAAGCTGCTGACAGGATAGAAGCTTACCATAAAGAAAGCTTGGTAGACTTCCAGGTGAGATATAATCTGAAAGAATAAGCTTCTCATGCTGGGTGGGTCCCCAGTAGTATCCTCTCAAGGGCACAACATTTGGGTGCCTAATGTTTGCAAATTTTTTTGCTTCCTTGGCAAAATCTTTTCTTTGCTTTGCTACTCCTTCCCTTAGCCACTTTACAGTTAAGAACACCCCATTATCCAGTGTTGCCCTGTAAGAAGTTCCATGACTGCTTCTCCCCAATACTTCAGCAGGTGCCCTTGACAGCTCTTCAGGTGTCAATGTGAGTGTATCATCAAGAAAATATAGTTCACCAACCAATCGATCTGGTGATCGGACATCCAGTCTTGCTAAGTATTCAGCAGTGAATGAATCCCCAGAGCCTGGTGACCAAGACAAACGGCTATTCTTTGATGGAGAGTAGCCAGTTGCTACTGCCAATTTCTCGTCTGGACTAATAATCTCAGATGAGGATCCCTTCCTGGTAGCAACAAGATCCTCGGCTGAAACAATCAAACCACCTCTACTATCAGTTCCACTTATTCCAGAAGAGTGTGTTGGAGTTTTCCTGTGAATATCTTTTGCTGTAACATGTTCTGATCGGTTTCTTTTTGATATGCGGATGTAGTGTATGAAAATAGCAAGCAGGATAAAAATGATAACAGCGACCACACATGAAACTATTATTACCACTTTAACAATAGTGTTTATCGGTTTCCTCTTGGAACTTTCAGTAGTGGAATTATCCAATCCGGGAGAACCACTTGGTAAATGTAGCCTAGTATTTCCAGGGTAGAAAGAAGAGGCAGGAAACTTCCTCAAATTTTTTGGAACTACCCCAGAAAGATCATTGTGTGAAACATTAAAGCTCTCAATGTTGCTGGACAAGTTGTTGGGTAGAGGACCAGTAAAATGATTTTCAGATATATCTAATGAAGTTAAGGAGACCATGTCAGCCATTGAAGTGGGCAGAGAACCAGAGAAATTGTTTGCTGCAAGATTGAGCATCAGAAGTCCAGTCAACGATCCAAATTGATCAGGAAAATATCCACTGAGTCGATTGTGAGAAAGATCAAGAATCTGGAGATTGGCTTTTGGTGAAGAAGAAAGTGGGAGCTCAAGAGCACTTGTCAGGAAATTGTTTTCAAGATGGAGTTCTTGCAAAGTGGCCATAGAGAGTAATCCACTTAGAATAGGACCATCTAACTGGTTGGAACTCATATCAAGGACTCTAAGTTTTGGGAACTGTACAATAACTTTTGGAATATTGCCACTAAGGGCATTGCGAGAGAGATTCAGATGATTTAGACGCAAAAATTGAGCTGTAACTTCTGGGAATGACCCTGCTAATCTATTCTGGCTGAGGTCAAGATGCTCAATGTTTCCCCATTTCATCATTCTGGTCAGATTTCCTTCAAACTGGTTATTTGATAGATCAAGAACTGCACAATTTCCAGTCAACTGAGGCAGTTCACCGGTTAGCCTGTTGGAGGAGAGATTGAGGATGCGCAAATTTGTTGACATAATTATACTTATTGGCCCTGAAAGAAACAATCATGATATCCATATGAATAATACTTACTAGGGAATAAGACAAAGTGAATGGAGCTTAATGTATTAAGATTTTAGTACCTCATAAACATGGGAAAAATTTAGTCGTTAAGGACATACCTGAGAGATTGTTGCCACTCAAATCCAGTTCAGTTAGAAGTGAAGAATCCCCTTTCAATAGGTTGTTAGGAACAAAACCTGAAAATTTGTTGTTGCTTAGCTTGAGCACTTGAAGATCATAAGCAAAGTCAAAACCAGGCAATTCCCCGTACAGTTGATTGTAGCTCAGATCCAACACCTTCAAGTTCTCAAACAGCAGTTCACTCCCACTTACCAATGACCCATTAATCTGGTTATGGCTGAGAATTAAGTACTTAATACTCTCGGAGATACCTGGTAATAATTTCTCAGAACCAGAGCTCACTAGCATATTTCCACTAAAATCAACATAACTGGCATTTGAGAGAAGGAAAAACTCCCCATCTAGATGACCATCAAACATATTCAGATGCAAGTCAAGCACCTGAAGACCTGAAATGCTCTCAAACCCCTCCGGGATTCTGCCAGTAAACCTATTTGAAGACAGATTAACATAAAGAAGATTATACAACTTTGTAATCGATATTGGCAGTGGACCGGACAAGGAGTTCCTGCTCATGTCCAAAGAGTGGATGGAAGTCATCGCTGAAATCGAATCAGGAATTTCACCCGAGAAGTTGTTTCCAGCTAATGAAAGATTTCGCAAGCTGTCTAGTTTACCAATCCCCGGTGGCAACGATGAGGAGAAGAGATTGTTAGACAAGTCTAGGAACTCAAGGTTCTTGACGTCACCTATATTATCAGGCAATGTGCCTGATATAGAGTTGTTAGCCATTGAGAGCTTAACAAGCATAGTGAGGTTTGAAAACACACTCAAGTCTGCATCTGCAGAAAGATCCAAGTTATCCAGCACAACGCCTGCTATATTTGCACCATTACAGACAATCCCATTCCAAGATGAAGGGCATCCATTAAAGTCAATGGACTCATCATTCCATGAATCAAGGACAAAGCCAGTAGGGTCATGCTTGATTCCCTTCTTGAATTCAAGCAATGCCAAAATGTCCTGAGAAGGAAGTTGTCCCACGGCAGAGATGATAAACAGGGAAAGCACCAAAAGCTTAAATAGTTTCATATTACTTCTCCAAAACTCGACTAATGAATGCACAATTTCCAGAACAGACAGAACCTCTTCACCCTATAAACCAGATATTGCAGCAGACCCAGATGAATGCGACAGAGACGACAGTAAAAACAAGAAAGACGCAACAATTTTTCCCTCAACACCGCCGAAAAAATGTGCTTCTAAAGCTCCTAAACCCACTATTTCGGCCAAGATTCACAAATTCAACTGCAAAAACTTCAAATTTGCACATCAACTTGGCACATTACCTTATGCTGAAGCTAAATCTTGAGAGACCAGCTCTTCAAGGAACTGAGTCTGCTTCCAAAAAGAATCAGCAGTGAAGACAGGGCTTGTAGGAAAAATCTCCAACTACACAACTCAAAGCATTAAATGGGATAGATGAACTAGAAAGAGTTATAGGTCCCATTCAGAGATCTACATACAGAAAGTACAACACTTGTTACCAAGTTCCCACTTTGAAAGAACAATGCCGGCTCAGTAAAAACTCTCTTAAGAAAGACCAAGCTCGAAGGTAACAAAACGAGTTGGTTAGACATTAAAGAGCTGGGCAACAAATAGGCTAACTGCAAGTAGAGAGGATGACCCAAGTACTATACGGTGGTACACTGAGCTAGAAAAATCCATGAAGAATGAGAAATGGGTATTCGTATTAATGGCTAATTATCAAAAAGTAAAAGGTACCCGGAATTTTTAGGACAAGAAAACCCCGAGTAACTATCCATTTAACTATTCAAATGGACCAAAAACCCTAACACTCTTTACTGAGAGTGACAACGAAACCCACAAAGGAAGCGCCTTTTTGCGACTTTGTCTCTATACTTTTCTCTCTCTCTAGAATAGCATGTGAGAGAGACACCCAAAACAAAACCCAATTTGTTTGCATTGGGTAATCAAAATAAAAAATAAAAAATTGCTTTTTTTTTTTGGTTCAGTCTTTTGAGGGAGGATTAGTGTCAGGAAATGACATAAAAGATAGCGGGAAATGTAAGTTTTTTTTTGCAGATAATTAGAAAATTACCGCCAAAATAAGACAAGGAATCTGACATTTTACAATGTGGACGTCAAAGGGATTATTAAATCTAGTTTGAAGGTTGTGTTTGTCTTCCTGGAAAGTTAAAAGAAAATCCCAAAAGCTTTTATCTTTAAAGTAAAAAATAAAAAAAAAAAAACCAGTAGTGGGTGACTGAGGGAGGAGTGTGCATGGAGGAGGAGGAGGAGGAAGAAGAAGAAGAAGTCCCACGTATGACGACCTGCTTCAGTGCCCCATTGACGAGGGTTTTCTTTCATTTAATTTGCAGGACAGAGGCAAGTTCCGATAACACACAGCACACAGCACACAGCACACGAGGTAGGTGAGAGGGAAATAATGAGAAATGGAAAACGGTGGGTCCCATTTCTTCCAACATTTTCCAATGAGGGATTGACACGTGGACGAATAATCTTCTTGATAATTTATTTTTAAACTCAGCAGTGAGCTTTATTATATATATATATATATACACACACACAAAATATTTATAGATTTGGTATTATTATAATATACATTATTAAGTGAAGTATAAGCATAATAATCTTATGAGTGAAATTAGGGTATAAACCTCACCCTACAAAGCTACACTATCAAAAAATATTAATCATTTTGTAATTAATTTAAATAAATCCATATATTAATAAAATAAAATTTAAGGTATATATATATATGTATATGTATATGCATGCAATGCACCAACTATTAATAGTCAAAACTTTTTTAAAGTTTATGTCTTTAAACTACGTGGAAATTTAAAATATATATATATAATAATTTGAGTGAAGAAATAAAATAAAATATTAAGATTATTATTTTTTACATAATAATTTAAAAATATTAAACAATATTACAGAATTTGATCCATAAGGCCGAATTCAACCAAACTTTCATCGGTTCCTGTGAGAAAATACACTTAGGGTCCTCGGTGGATAAAAAAAAGACAGAAAATCGAAACTTACTGGCGGTGGGGTTCTCCGGTACAGCGGCTCCTCCGGCTCACGTCGCAGTTGGGTGTTTTGCTCCGGTCAACCTGTAGAGAAAAAAACGGTGATCACAATAATGAAAAAATCACATCGAATGGAAATCGGAAATGACCTCATCGGAGGCAAAAATCGAGACACCACGCGACAGCGCCGTCAAAGTTCGACGGCTTTTTCTGACCAATTGGCCGGTGCTTTCGCTCCGATTTGGCCATAGGTAGGTTTAGAATCAAATTCTGAACAAATGATAGAATATTTACCTCGTTTGGTGGCCGAAAATTGTTCCGATACGGCTGCGGGTGGCGGCGGTCGGCTCCTCGGCGGCTGGGCTATCTTCTCCGGCGAGGGGCTCTGGCGGCTAGGGTTAGGGTTTGGGTGCGGATGAGATTATTCATACCCATCCGCTTTTGATCTGGGTCGTCCATCGCTTTTAATCTGTACCGTCCGATCGCAATTAAATAGGGAATGAATCTGAACCGTCCATCGCGATTCAATCTGAACCGTCCGTTCGCGATTCAATCTGGACCGTCCGTGCGTGTGAAAACAGACTTTATTTATTTTAGGGTTGTGTGTGTGTAGAGAGATATATATATATATATAGAGAGAGAGAGAGAGACTCTTGATTCAAGCACTAAATCTATATATAACACATGAAATATGAGAAAGGAATCAACTTCCTAAAAAAAAAATGCATTTCCCTTTCATAATGTTATCAAATATCTACTTCATGGACCCTTAAATAAATAAAGTCGAGAGATCATTCACGTGCCAACTTCAATCTCTATTTTACATGTATATATCATCATCATCATCATCATTGTCAACAAGAATCTTATATAAACTACTATATCACCTTCGTAATACAAAATATTTTAGTGTATTTATAGTATAATAAATTTTTCGTAAATATAGAATAAATATATATTTTAAGAAACAAAATATATATATATATATATAAACACTTAACTTGTATCGAAAAACTACTACACTTATTTATTCGAGTTTAAACATTCGTTTTTTTATTTAATTCTTAGTTTAGTGTAATTAAGTTAAGTTCTAAACTAACGAGCACCCTTAATTAA